AGGAAAAAGGAATATGTCCATTCCATTTTCATTGAATTAAACAAAAAACATGAGAGACAATAGTTCCATGATGCATTTGTCATGGCAACACTGCAACCAGAGTCTGTTTTCTAACCAATCAGCATCGTTTTCTCATGCAGTATAAATTGTCCTTCCATATGAAGAAATACATTCTTCCACCTGTTGTGTTAAGTGCAAGACAAAAAGCTTCTACAGCATGTCTTATTTTTCCTGAGAGTTGTTACATACTAACAATTCAAACCTCTATGATGAAATTTTTCACAAGTCTCTCTTGAATAATCCCCGAGGCGTCCCTTGTGTTTACACATTCTTCTATTTTTTCCAAGCCTGTACACTCAAATAGTAATATCATCAAGCAACAAGACTTCCATTCTAAGCAAATTGGTCCTTTACACTTGATCAAAACAAAGGTCAATTTACAACAAATACTACACTTGATATACTCAATTAGATCAATTATTAAATGCAGAGTGGACATCAAAAGCTACGTGGAGGACAGTAATTTGTAAATGATAAAAGGTTTTTAAAACATCATTTACACTTATTCTGTGTAGGACCAATTCACAAAAACCAGCAATGAAAAGTGGTTGTGATCAAGTTTTTAAATTCAAGGCCAGCAATTAACTAAAATAATTTGCACCTGTTTTTAGACAATTATCTTAGCTACCTTCTAAATATTGCTTAAAAAAAAGAAAGCTTTTCAGAATATTCACAAGTGTGGTAAAAACATAGAAGTATATTAAAAGACCTAACATTCAAGAATTTAATAATAAAAATGCAAGATGGCCTTTTCACCATAACTCAGTGGCCATAACTATAAAATTCTACACATTTGGTAGAGGAATCTCTATTTAAGTCGCTTGTTACTTTGTCCCTTCACCACATGCTTCTACAAGATGGCCTAAATAATCCATTATTACTTTCTCAAATGCAAGCTTCATAGTAGCTTCAGAGTTGAATCTTTATTACGGTTTACTTTACAGCAAATCTTATTATTCCTACTATGCCTTTAGTTTGAGGCAATCTTGGAATATTGACATTACATATTAATTTAGGTGCTGGATATTAGAATCCATTTCCTTGCATGTTATATAATGTCTTATGTTGTCAAGCAAGTTAAGAAACATCTGTGACATACAAGTTGGAAAAGCAGACAGAGTGACTACTTTAGAAAAGACTATTTTATAGCCCCTGTGTGTCAATAAGCAACCACATATCTGCTAAGTTATGGTATAAGGATTTGATGTTTAAAAAAATGGAACATGTTAGCACATCAAGAGTTTCAAGCATAGGTTGTGACCTGTATTTGTATTGTGCTGGTGTAGGCATACATGTGATACAAGATTGTATATGTTCTTGACATAAACAAGCAGAACCGATTGAAAGTCAACACATTGTACAACTGAACATGCTGACAGACCTCAGAGCAACACATAAGAACTAGGAGCAGGAGTAGGCCATCCGGCCCTTCGAGCCTGCTCCGCCATTCAATAAGATCATGGCTGATCTTTTTGTGGACTCAGATCCACTTACCCGCGTTCTCACCATATCCCTTAATTCCTTTATTGTTCAAAAAAAATCTACCTTATCTTTAAAAACGTTTACGAAGTAGCGTCAACTACTTCACTGGGCAAGGAATTCCATAGATTAACAACCTTCTGGGTGAAGAAGTTCCTTCTCAATTCAGTCCTAAATCTGCTCCCTCTAATCTTGAGACTATGCCCTCTTGTCCTAGCTTCACCTGCCAGTTGAAACATCCTCTCTACTTGTATCTTATCTATTCCCTTCATAATTTTATATGTTTCTATAAGATCCCCCCTCAATCTTCTGAATTCCAATGAATATAATCCCAATCTACTCAGTCTCTCCTCATAAACCAACCCCCTCAACTCCGGAATCAACCTAGTGAGCCTCCTTTGCACCCCCTCCAGTGCCAGTACATCCCTTCTCAAGTAAGGAGACCAAAACTGCACACAGTACTCCAGGTGTGGCCTCACCAGCACCTTGTACAGCTGCAACATAACCTCTCTGCTTTTAATCTCAATCCCTTTAGCAATGAAGGACAAAATTCCATTTGCCTTCCTAATTACTTGTTGTACCTGCAGACCTACCTTCTGTGATTCATGCACAAGGACACCCAGGTCTCTCTGCATAGCAGCATGCTACAACTTTTTACCATTCAAGTAATGATCCTTTTTACTATTACTCCTACCAAAATGTATGACTTCACATTTATTTACATTGTATTCCATCTGCCAGACCTTTGCCCACTCACTCAATGTATCTATGTTCCTCTGCAAAGTTTCACAGTCCTCTGTACACTTTGCTCTGCCACTCATCTTAGTGTTATCTGCAAACTTTGACACCCTACATGTGGTCCCCAACTCCAAATCATCTATATAAATTGTAAATAATTGCAGTCCCAACACCGATCCCTGAGGCACACCACTAGTCACTGACTGCCAGCTAGAATAGCACTCATTTATCCCCACTCTTTGCTTCCTGTTAGTCAACCAATCCTCTATCCATGTTAATACTTTACCCTTAACGCCATGCATCCTTATCTTATGCAGTAGCCTCTTGTGTGGCACCTTGTCGAAGGCCTTTTGGAAATCTAGGTACACCACATCCACTGGGTCCACTTTGCTCATAATGTCTTCATAGAATTCCAAAAGATTTGTCAAGCATGACCTGCCCTTCATGAACCCTTGCTGCGTCTGCCCAACGGGACAATTTCTATCAAGATGCCTTGCTATTTTTTCCTTGATAATAGACTCAAGCATCTTCCCCACTACAGAGGTTAAGCTAACCGGTCTATAATTCCCCATCTTTTGTCTACTTCCCTTTTTAAACAATGGCGTCACATTTGCTGTTTTCCAATCTGCTGGGACTGTCCCAGAGTCCAGCGAATTTTGGAAAATTACCACCAGTGCACCTGCTATTTCTCCCACCATCTCTTTTAGTACCCTGGGATGCATTCCATCAGGGCCAGGAGACTTATCAATCCTTAGCTCCATTAGCTTGCCCAACACTACCTCTTCCGTAATAAGATATTTATTGGATTCAAATTTCATCATCTGTGGCAGGATTTGAACCTGGATCCCCAGGACATTGTCTGGGGCTCTGGATTAACTGTCCACTGATAATACCACTAGGCCATTGCCTCCCAGGCAGGTACAAAGGTACAAATCTCTTCTTATCATAATATATTTTATCCACTATCTCCACAGAAATTGTATCAATTACATCTGTAAATGAATTCCTTGATAACTTACTAGTTCAGAATTTGTCAGAAGATTTGCAATATTTGGGCCTCAGTAAACAATCTGTTAACCATTCCAGAACCCTTCATAAGTTGCTGAAATTAGTTTAATGCACCTAAAATATTGCACAAGTATAAAATACGTTTCTACTTTATAAAATTAGAACATTCTCGAAATCAATCAGAAAATCATAATATAGAATGATTTGGGTGAAGAAATGATCAAAATTTCTAATCGGAGTCCACTCTGCTTTGAACACAACACAAACAAGGTATGGCTGGAGAAGAATGGGTTGAGCTGTGAGGGTACCCGTATGTGTGTGTCTCAATATTAAATCCTGCAAGCTGTAAAGTACAGAAGCGTCAAACATAAAAACATAAGAACTACGAGCAGGAGTAGGCCATCTGGCCCCTCGAGCCTGCCCCGCCATTTAATAAGATCATGGCTGATCTTTTTAAGACTCAGTTCCACTTACCCACCCACTCACCATAACCCTTAATTCTTTTACTGTTCAAAAATTTATCTAGCCTTGCCTTAAAAACAGTGAGGTAGCTTCAACTGCTTCACTGGGCAGGGAATTCCACAGATTCACAACCCTTTGGGTGAAGAATTTCCTCCTGACCTCAGCCCTACATCTGCTTCCCTTTATTTTGAGGCGATGCCCTCTAGTCCTAGTTTCACCTGCTAGCGGAAACAACCTCCCTGCCTCCACTTTATCTATTCCCTTCATAATCTTATATGTTTCTGTAAGATCTCCCCTCATTCTTCTGAATTCCAATGAGTATAATCCCAGTCTACTCAGTCTCTCCTCATAATCCAACCCTCTCAACGAGGTATTGTTCCTCCAGTTCGCGTTGAGCTTCATTGGAAAAATGTTGCAGGCCTTGATGACTTTGCTCTCAGCACAGCAAACCCATTTTCTTCTCTTCACACTTTGATTTTACAGCTCTATTTCACCTTTACCACCATCAGCACTTGCATTGATTTTTGCTCTGGGCACCTTCACCATCTGTTTCATTCACTTCTCTTCCCACTTTGTCAACAACAAAAGCACCACCACTTTCCAGCTTCTTTCAGTTCTGAAGAGGGATTATACTGAACTGGAAATGATAACATTCTCTCTCAAGAGGTGCTGCCAGTCCTGTACTTCTTTAGCACTTTATTTTAGATCTCTAGCATCCAGGGTATTTTTGCTTTAAAATCTTTTATGAATACCTCCAAGAAAGAATACTTGACCTTTTCTAAAATAAATGTAGTTTGATGATGAACATGCCAGAGAGAGGTACATCCAAATATTAATTCTAACTATTCTAACAACTGTGTAAAGAAATTCAGGTCCATTCCATAAAATGGTAATATTGTCTACACAATTCTCAGAATATTTGAAAATATGCAACCCTGTATTTGTAATCTTCCGGTGCAGTCACTCTGTACATCTAGCAGTTAGAATTAGTCAGAATTATAACTGTCAAATTTCTGAACTTTTCAGCATTTGCAAAGCATATTCCAGTCTAGAACACATGCGGAGGACATCAATATGCACAATCATTCATGCATTAACACATCACACCAAAAATGAGCAACAAAAGTGAAAGTCAGTTTTTAGAAGAAACAGAATGAGATCATAGGTCAGTGCAGCAGAAGTGGAAGCATAACTGAGCCCATTCTTTCCATACTCAACAAAAGTAAAATGCCACACAAGGTAAGCAAACTCACCTCTTCAGGTTCACCATAGCCCAAGGGATGCCTGTGGGTGTATTAAAGGAAGGCAGCAGCTTTTCAGCAAGTTGTGCAGCTTTCTGTTTAAAGACCTGACAAAGGAAGTTAAAATAAAAAATGCTTGTTTCAGATTTACAGAGAATAAAACAAGCAATAAATAAAGCAACAGTTTTAAAAAGAAATGGATCAATCCAAAATAATATTGACAGTTTCCGAAGATGGTAACCCTCTTTTGTGGAATCTAGGTCTTACACATGGAAAGCAGGAATTCACTTAATGTTTTCAAAATCCAGTAGACAACTATATCTGTACCCCAACCTCAAGCAGAAGGCTAATTCCCATCAAATTAAGCTTCAGGTGCCTAAGGTGCATCATAAGTGAAATAAAAACCAAAAGAACTGCGCGGATGCTGTAAATCAGAAACAAAAATATGAGTTGCTGGAAGTGCAGCAGGGCAGGCAGCATCTGTGAAGAAAATATCAGAGTTAACGTTTCGAGTCCATTGACCCTTCCTCATAACTGATGGTAGCTGGGAAAACGTCAGCTTATATGCAGAAAGTACGAGGTGGATGGGGTAGAGAGTAAACGATACGATAGAGCCCAAAGAGAGAATAGCAGTTGGGTAGACAAAGGAGTTGATAATGATCTGGCTGGGAGAGTGAACAGTTGTTAATGGGGACTATTAGTGACTCACAATAGGTACTGTGTAATGGCAGGCTGTGAGACAACAAGGCCTGGTGTGTGGGGAAAGTGACTAGGACATGGGAGAGTTTAAGGTCCAAAATTATTGAACTCGATATTGAGTTCAGAGGGCTGCAGGATCCCCAAGCGGAAGATGAGGTGTTGTTCTTCCAGCTTGCATGGAGCTTCGCTGGAATACTGCAGCAAACTAGAAACACAGATGTTGACCAGGGAACAGGGTGGTGTGTTAAAGTGGCAGGCAACAGGTAGCTCAGGGTCTTTTTTGCAAGCAGAACATAGATGTTCTGTGAAGCAATCACCAGTCTACACTTCGTTTCCCCAGTAGTGAATGCAGTAGACCAGATTCTTGGGAGGTACCTCGAAGTTGTGTTTGGGCCCTTGGATACTGGGGAGGGGGGGCGGGAGGTAAATGGGCAGGTGTTGCACCTTCGCTGGTCTCAGTGTAAGGTGACACGGGGCTGTGGGGCAGCAGGTGGGTACTGAGGGTGAAGGAAGAGTGGACCAGGGTGTCCTGGAGAGAACGGTCCCTGCGGAAGGCGGACAAGGGAGGGGATGGGAACATGTCTGATGGTGGCATCTCGCTTCCTCGAAATCTGTTTCAATTTCTGTAGACAGACAGGCCACTAATATCAACTATAAACCCACTGACTCCCACAGCTACCTAGATTATACATATCCTTACACCCTGCTTCCTGTAAAGACTGCATTCTCTCAGTTCCTTCGTCTCCGTCGCGTACGTTCAGATGAGGCCAAATATGACAAGGGAGCCTCCGAAATGTCCACCTTCTTCCTCAACAGAGGATTCCCCAGCACCATTGTTGACAGGGCCCTCAAATGGGTCCGACCCATCTCCTGCACTTCCGCCCTCACCCCGTCTCTTCCCTCATACAACAGCGATAGGGTTCCCCTTGTCCTTACCCACTATCCCACTAGCATCCACATCCAGAAGATGGGCAGATGCCATTTCCACCACCTCCACCGAGATGCCGCCAGCACCAGACATATTCCTCTCCCCTCCCTTGTCCGCTCTTCCTTCACCCCCAACAACCCCCACCGCCTCACGCACTTTCCCCTGCAACCAGCGAAGGTGCAACACCTGCCCATTTTACCTCCTCCCTACCCAGTATCCTAGGGCCCAAACATACCTTCCAGGTGAAGCAACACTTGACCTGTACTTCCCAGAATCTGGTCTACTGCATTCGCTGTTCACAATGGGATCACCTGTACACTGGGGAAACGAAGCGTAGACTGGGTGACCGCTTTGCAGAACATCTACGCTCTGCTTGCAAAAAAGACCCTGAGCTACCTGTTGCCTGCCACTTTAACGCACCACCCTGTTCCCTGGCCAACCTGTATGTCTCTAGCTTGCTGCAGTGTTCCAGCAAAGCTCAACGCAAGCTGGAAGAACACCACCTCATTTTCCGCTTGGGGACCCTGCAGCCCTCCGAACTCAATATCAAGTTCAATAATTTTAGGGCCGAAGCTCTCCTAGTCATTTTCTCCACACGCCAGGCCTTGTTGTCTCTCAGCCTGCCATTACACAGTACCTATTGTTAGTCACTAACAGTCCCCATTAACAACTATTCATCTTCCTAGCCAGATTGTTATCAACTCCTTTGTCTATCCAACTGCTCTTCTCTCTCTTCAGACTCTATCCTGTCGTTTACTCCCTACCCCAACCCCCTCCCTATTTTCTGCATATAAACTGATGTTTTCCCAGCCACCATCAGCTCTGAGGAAGGGTCAATGGACCCAAAACGTTAACTCGGATTCTTTTCTTCACAGGTGCTGCCAGACCTGCTAAGCTTCCAGCAACTTCTGTTTTTGTTGCATTATAAGCTAGATGAATTACAACTTCAGTCATGTATAGAATAAAACACAGTTACTGCAGTCAATAGGAAATGAGTTACTCTTATTTTTAAAAAAGACATGGTGATTTAAAGACAGGAGTTCCTACATTTTTTTTAATTAACCTATTTTTTCCAATCAACCAGTTCAAAGATGCTTTTACACACCTTTGGAGCAGGTGTGACTTCAGCATGCATCTATTGGTCCAGGGGCAGGGACACGACACTGCGCCACAAGAGGGGCTTCTGTACTACTCCTTCCTCCTTGCCTCACAACTGCCTGCATATTATTTTTGCTTAGACAGCAAATGACTTAAACCGCTGGGGCCAATTGGACCTTTAGTGAAAAGGGTCTGCATAACAGACACGGTATAAGCATTTAAAAATTATCAGCTCCTGGTAGGCTAACGGACTGCCATACGTGTCCCCTTGTTTGAACATTTGGTCAGGAAACTGAAGGTAAGCCTATTATAATGCAAGTTTTCCAGAGCAGGAGCAGATATTAAATACAAATGTCAAGCCATGACTGGTGTGCTAACTACCCATCAATGGAATGCTGATAAAAATGAAATACTCTTGGATCAAAAATTCTTGAAGCCATTGGCAATCTGGAAACTCTCAACTAAACATGTTAATGCAGTTTAAACTTTAGTCTTGCAATGAATAAATCCATCACCATTCTTCTCCTTCTTCCTCTCTCACAGGACCGGATAGAAGAGATAAGAGTCCTGTTCTCAATTATTTGAAAATGGTGAAGTCCAAAGAACATTGTTGTCTTTATCCCAATTATGAATTTCTAGTCCAGCCACCTAAGATTTGCATAACTGATTCAACCAGCAAAGCACTCATGTCAATTCACATCACACATTTTGAGTTTTCCAGTACATCATGCTGAAAATAGTACATCTGCTGTGATTTCTTCAAATCCTCATGTTCAGAGATAATCACTGACAATCTCTGGGGAGGGGTTGGTGAAAGAGACGACACATGCTGATTGTATCCCTACCCAGAGATTCCTCAAAATGAAAATAAGAGAAAAATATCCAGCTTCTGAATAATCGGAGACTGAACGCATCCTGAAAATGTGAGATGGTACCCTCTGGGTGTTTTTATCTGGACATTAATTCCAGTATTTTGATGCTAAGCAAACTATTTTTCTCTAAGAGCAAGTGTGGAATTTCCCCATGCCTTGAGTGGTGTGGGCAATGGTGAAAATTGTGGGAAAATACAGCAGAAATGAAAAAACCCTGAATCTTGACATTGAAAAAAAAATCTGATTTTACTTTTAAGGTTTCAACAGACAGCTCAGAACCTCACTGATGAGTAGCACTTTGTTTACATACACTCGTATTTCATTAATACCCCAACTTCCTTCATTTAAACACAGCTAGCAATTAGTCCCTCCTTTGCTGAGAAACTAGATGGCACCAACCCAGACATGAAAGTCACAGCAGTCACCCGGTGGGAAGCAACTTGCTACTTGCTTCACCAGGCCTCCATTTTAGTGTCCCTACTATAAAAAGTCCTCAAACGCTCCATGAGTTCTCCTCCATTCTTCATCACCAAAGTCTGCATCAGCCTCACAACATAATAATGGCTGATCTCGGACCAATTCAGCATCAACTTAGGCCCTTCAGGACTTCACTTCAGAATTAAAATCTTTGATTGACATGCTCCTGCGAGATTGCTTTGTGCACAGGGACGCATAGCCATCTTGTGCATCTGCAATCGTTGCCTCTCAGGGTTCTTAGCTTCGTTTCTTAAGTGCCAACTCTTCACTCTTACTAGGAGGCTACTAGCCTCTATGATTGCACAGCCTTTTAATGAAAGGGCATAAAAGATTAGTAGTTGTGGAGATGAGGAGGAAAGAGTCTTTGAATAAAGATTCCGTGTGCAGTAGTGAGGTTGGTAGTCCACCAGCATTGTGAAGGCTTGTGTGCATGGCAGAGTAAGAGTGAATGTGAAGTAGCAGAGATAAGATGGGCTTAGTGGAGTGTAGATGATCATTGACCTTATTTCCTGCACTAATGTGCATTCTATCAGAGACAGCACTGTCCCAGGCTACTATCTGTGCACAGGCTGACCGTGTTTGTTGCCTCCATCTCCTTGGGTGGTCTATCAAGCCCTCCAGGTCCCTATCTAGGAAGCTCTTTCATTTCCTCTTTGGGAATGCAGAAAGAAAATTGTTTTATTTTAATTTTGCTTTATTTTTGAGGACTGTTTGAACTTAAGAAAGGGGAAGACTGAAATACCATTGCAAACAACTGCACAACTAAACAGAAGGTGCTTGCTGAGCTCATTGCTAACATTAGTTAAAAGGGAAAGTCATATGCAAATGCCATCTTCAGTAGTCAACAAATCTAGCTTCAAGTGCTTTTAAACTTAAAATTCAAGAATGTTGTTTAAGGGCCTACAAGAAAAGTACACTGCTTTTAATAGAATATTAAAGAATGAAAGGAAAGTTGTGTACAGAGTAAATAGTCTCAAGACACAGAGGGGAATAATGTGCTTTTTTAATAGTTGCATAATTGCAGCATTCAGTG